CAGCTAGGCCATGCTGGGCTCCTTGGCATGGTTCTTTAATATTTTAGACAGATCTAGCATCTTGAGACCCAGCCTAACCATGTCAGGGCATGAAGTAAACAGACTTAAGGGCCTGTGTTCCTGGCCATGGCCCAGGCAGGGGTGAGAAGCCTTGGGGGCAGGCGAGCTGGTACTTTTCCAGGTGGCGTGCATGTAGTACCGGGCAATGAATGATGGTCCAGGAGCAAATGACTCATGGGGCTGTCACTGGAGATGGACTTGTGTTCAGCTTTGTTGGAGAGGACATGCACTCTGTGTGTGTTGTCAGAAGAGCTAACGTGGGCCCTTTCTATCGCCTCAGCAGCCTGGGGAGCTCTGCTTGTCTATCAGGGAGATAAACTGGCCTCAGTCTAGGCAGGAGCCCAGTCTGGATACCTGGCTGTGAGCACTTTGGCCCAGGTTAAGTTCTAAAGTGCAAACCCTGGAAGCGAGTGTCAAGGGTCTGCACCAGCGACGAGGAACCAGGCACACAGGTGTGTGGTGGGATCAGGCAACTTGACGAGCTCGCTGCATATTCCCTCTTCCAGCCTCATGATTCAGAGAGCTTCCCAGAGGAAGCAATGGCTAAAGGATGAGAGAGAAGGTCGTGGTCAGATGCAAAGGGTGGAAATGCAGGGGCACAGCCCAATCAGAGGCCTCGAGGCACAGTGGGAAAGTAGGTTGATGAGGCCTGACCATATCCTTCATGCATGAAGTGCTTGGAGAGACAGCAGGAGCCAGAGTCTGGGGACCTTTGGGAAGGGTGGGTAGTTAGGCTTTGCCTCAAGGCAGCATGTTCAGAGCCCAGAGATGTGACTTGCTTGGAGATCAGGGTCTTGTAGAGTACCCTGTTTGTGTTTTACTTGGTGGGAGACCCCAAGCTGTGATTTTCCCTTCTTCCTTGAGCTGGGCTTGTAGGACTTGGACCTGGGGGTAGCAGCACATATCTGTGATGTCAGTACTCAGCTGGCTAAGGTAAGAGGGTCTAGAGTTCAAGGCTGGCCTGAACTACATAGTAAGACTGTGCCTCAAAATAAATAAGTAAGTTTGGAGTAGGAACTTTTAGCCCTCTAAAGGCTCGGAGGGCTTTCTAGCCGACTCTTGTCTTCATTTCAGAGTTGTGACCCTGGACCAAGCTGGGCGCTTCCTCTCTGGTCTCTGTGACTCACAGCAGTCTTATATCTCAGATGAACAAATCGAACAGCCCAGATGACTGTTGAGTGGCTCAACCCTCTCTCAGTGGCCATAATGGGTCCCTTTCCCCTGTGGTGGAGGGCCCAGTCATGGCTGGGCCTTCAGGTGGGCTGCTATGCCACTTGAGGAGCTGCCATCCCTTTAGAGTATAGAGCACAGAGCACCCCCAAGGACGTCCTAGAACCTTCTCATGTGTCTGTGAAACCCATATGTGGGTTCAGCACTGCTTTCTTCTTAGCGCGCCCCCCCCCTCCCCCGTAGATCTTTTTTAGCCTCCCTGGTCCCAGGCCTCTGACAATGACACTGGCTTTGTTTTCAGCCTTGGGGAGACCAGCAGCTCTCGGTCAGAATGGTTGCAGTAGAGAGGCTCCTAGAGGATGGGACCACAAAGGGGAGCGTGACGGTCAGGCACAGAGACTGACTAGTGGTTGCAGTGCTGGGCCCTATGGTGGCTGCGGGTTTCCTTCTGCTGTGTTCTTGCATCCCTTGTCAGAGGCCCTCAGCTGGTCCCAGGGGGCGTCCACCGCCAGGACTTCCTTCCTTACACCCTCTTTTTGAACCCCGGGGATTTGGCCCATTGACTGGCAGACTTTGGAGAAGGTGGTTTCCTCCTTCCTCACTGTGAGGAAGGTCAGGCTGACCTGCACCTGAGAGGCCGAGGAGAGCGAGGGTGTGACAGGAAAAACTGAGAGGAAGTGGCTCAGGCCTGCAGTTGCGAGGGTGGGAGGTGCCAGGGTACTCAGAGCCGAAAGCCCCACAACAACAAGGCTGAGCTGGCCAGCACAGCCAGCGCCATGGCTTCTGCAGCTGACTGTACCTGCTGTCTCTTTGTGGTGAGGTCCCTCCCCTGCCTCTTATGACTGAGGGTCTCAGTTATGTTTGCTGAGAGCGGGAGAGGGTTACCTGCCAGAGTCAAATAGGAGTCAGGAGTAGGAGGGGGGTGTCTGGAGCTGGTGAAGAGGCTGTCTGTGTCCAGCAAGCTCTTACCCTGGGCCCAAAGAAAGGTGAACACACGGGACCTAAGGTCAGACTGGTGTGTTGAGGACTCATCTTGAGTCTGACATGCCTGGCTTCAAGTCCTGGTGACATAATCATGTGTGGCCATAGGTAAATTACCTTGTTCCTGTAAGCCTTACCCAGCGTACCTACAAAATGGGCGTTAAAATATCTGTGCTTGATAACAGAAATTTAAAAAAAATACAAAGTACTTTGGATCCTCCTGGCGCAGGCAGGCCGTATTATCACTGTTCATGTTACTTAGCGTTTGGCTGCCTAGGTGGCCCTTCCTACTCCCCATAGGTCTCAAGCACCCTCTTCTCTTAGGCCTGTGTGTTTGTGGCCCCCTTGAAGGGCAGAAAGGGCAAAATGGTGAAGATCTGTGCAGCAAGAAGCTTATGGGTGATTCTGCCCTTCAAACCAGCTCCTCTACGGATGTGTTCTAAGAAGCCCTGTCCCCCCCGTTGTGGTATGCTTGTGTTCAGGGTAGCTGGTCCCACCTTCTGACTTACATCTTACCTGCCGCCCCACAGGTCCATAGGCAGGGGCAACCAAACCCCGGAGTTCTTCTCCAGAGTCGCCCTTTCGTGTTCCAACTCTGTACTGAATAGCCGTTCCCCTGCCTAGGCCCCCTCTGACAGGAACATGTCTGCACGTGCACCCATGTCTGCCTGCCACGTGGGCCTCCCCGTCCCAGGCCCCCAAAGCCCATACCGTGGCTCCCACAAATGAATGTGAACATCTCTGAGCTTGCAGCCCCCTAGAGGCACGTGGCCTGCCAGGCTTCCCTCTGTCCTAAGTCTCCTGTCTCCTCCCCTCTCACATGCGCTTTCTTCCTCTGCCTTGCTGCAGACACATGCGTATTTCTAGTTTGCCGGGCTCGGGTCTCCCTCCCACCCTTTAGCTTCGTGGAGACCCCACGGGGATTTTCCTTCTCGATCTGGCTGCCCAAGAAAGGGGGCTTAAAAAGCAAGAGAAAGTTTCTCTTTTTTGTTTTGTTTTTTGAGCTAAAGCTTGCCACTCCGGCCCTTTGCTCTAAGCCCCTGTCCAAATTCTCGCCTTCCTGTTGGGACAAGGGTGCCTCAGTACCCCCTCTCTGCAATTTATACGCAAATGAAAGAAAAGACGTGCACAGGCTAAGGGCTTGCTCGGTCTTCAGGGCCCAGGAGCCAAGGAAGGAAATGCAGGAGGAAGTTGCTCCCCTTCTGGGTGCTCAGTGAAAGTGAAAGAGAGGGAGGGCCCTCCCGTGAGTCAGGCAGCCAAGCTGGCTGGCAGGCAGGCAGGCAGGCAGGCAGGCCAGTCCCGAAGCCTGGGCTGGAGCTGCTTCGGAAACGTGCAGCGTAGCGATAGCGCGGTGTGTCTGGGAGGGGAAGCCGGCTAGGTGTGGGCTGGGCTTCTTGTGGGCAGGACTTGTGACGCCTGGTCTGTTCCCTGCTGGTTTTCTGGGAACTGCCCCACCTGCTAACATAATGTCTGTTGCATTCAGAGCTTACTAGGATCTGCATATTCATCCTTGCCCGCCTCTAGTCTTCCTACCTTAGAGACCCAAGGCCTGACTTCCCAGGGAGAAAAAAACGAAGGAAAGGAACAAAATTTTATCTGAAGAAAGAACAAGTTTAATTAATGATACAGCAAGCAGCTGTGCATGTTGTAAAATACAGGCCTGGATTCTGTTCTGTGGCAGTGTCGATCATCATAAACAGCCGTATCACATGCCTTTAATCCCAGCACTTGGATCTCTGTGAGTTTGAGGCCAGCCTGGTCTACAAGAGTTAGTTCCAGGACAGCTAGGCCTACACAGAGAAACCCTGTCTCAAAAAACCAAACCAAACAAACAGTCGTTGTTAGAGGGGGTTGGAGAATCTAGTCTGGCTCACACCTACATGGGATTAGCACGCATGAAGCCCCCATTCCAGCTACCCTATCCCCACAATTATGGCAAAGCAGAACACTGAGCACTTTACATCTCGGGCAGTCTTGGGTGCCTGAGTTCTAGAACTCCGCACCCTTCATATTTGAGTTAGATTCTGCTTTAGCCAGCTGCTCTAGCAGTGGAGGGGAAGGGGGTGGCACCCGGCAGCAGCTGCTGACCAGCTAGCTACTAGACTAAATTGGGCCCCGTCCAGCCAGGGTTGCAAAACAGGTTCTGTGCTAGTTTGAGAAAGACTCCGCCAGCCAGAGCCCCACCCAGCAGCTCTTCCCAGGGGTGGGGCCTCACCTACATGCCTCAGCATAAAAGGCTGCAAGCCTAGCTCTCTGGGCCCTAGACCTTTGCAAGAGCCTGGTGGAGCTACAAAGGATGGGGGCCATACCGGGAATAGTCCCTGTCCCCTAACTTCCTTGGTCTTCAAGGTGGAGTGTTGGAGGGGTGGTGGCCTGAGGAAGATTCTTCTGGGTCAGGGCTTTTGTTTAGACAGACAGACCAGTAAGGAGGGCCAGACCCAGGCTGCCCAGTGCCAGAACCTAGTTTATAGGACAAGGTCCTTAGTTTGGCCTTTGTTTTCCCTTTTCTCAGTTTGCCTCGGAGCTTAGGCTGTATGTCAGTGCCACTTGGCCCCTCAGCATGTGTCGTTTTACAGGGCACAAATTACACACCAAGTGCGGCAGACTTGGAGTCTAGCCAGAAGGTGTTGGGACAGGAGGCGAGTGGCAGAGTACCTAAGGGACTGCTGATCCTGCTGCCCTCCTGGCCCCTGTGCACAGTGCTCTTCTGTGACCCGAGGCAGCGAGGCACTGGTGCTGATATCCAGGGATCCTGTGGCTGATGGCTGTCTCTGCTTTTTCCTCTGCAGGCTCCAGGATCCAGTACAGCATCATGACTGGGGACGTGTAGCTGAACTCAACGGCCTCTCCAGAAGAGGAAGGGACAGCGGACTTTTCTTGGCTCCTGTGTTTTCCTCTGCCCCTCTTCTGTCCTCACTGGCTTACCGGACTGGGACAGGGGCCAAGCTTCCAGCAGGACCTTCTCCCAAGGGATGGGCAGCTGCTGAAGGACGGCTCATTGCCAGGGCTTAGTTGGCCACATCATGAACCTCCAGGCCCAGCCCAAGGCTCAGAATAAGCGCAAGCGTTGCCCTTTTGGGGACCAGGAATCAACTTCCAAGGAACAGCCACCACCCCTGAAGGCACCACCACAGTCCCTCAGAGCGAAGGAGGAACAGTACGAGGCCCACGAAGCAGCAGGGGTTGCCTCCACCACCCAGCCTGTGGAGCTGCCTCCTCCCAACAGCCTGACGCTGCTGAACTCTGTGGTGTACGGATCTGAGCGGACCACGGCAGCCATGTTGTCCCAGCAAGCCCAAGTGAAGTGGCCCAACTCAGTGATGGCTCCGGGGCGGGGCCTGGAGCGTGGAGGAGGTGGGGGCATCAGTGACAGTGGCTGGCAGCAGCAACCTGGCCAGCCGCCACCCCACCCTGCATGGAACCACCTGTCCCTCTACAGTGGCCCCAAAGGGAGTCCTCATCCAGGTGTGGGTGTCTCTCCCTACTATAACCACCCTGAGGCACTGAAGGGGAGCAAAGCTGGGGGTCCACAGCTGGATCACTATGGAAACGCAGTGCAGCCCATGGTGCCCCAGAAGGTGCCGCTGGAGGTGGGGAGGCCCCAAGCACCCTTGAACTCTTTCCACGCAGCCAAGAAACCCCCCAACCAGACCCTGCCTTTGCAACCCTTCCAGCTGGCATTTGGCCACCAGATGAACCGTCAGGTCTTCCGACAGGGCCCGCAGCCCTCTAACCCCACCGCCTCCTTCCCACCTCAGAAGCAGCCGCAGCCGCAGCCGCAGCAACCGGCAGCCCTGTCCCAGATACCACTGTTTGAGAACTTTTATCCCTTGCACCAGCCACCTTCACAGCAAGCCCAGGACTTTGGCCTGGCACCGGGCGGGCCACTGGGACAGACGCACCTGCCTCATCACAGCATGGCCCCCTACCCTTTCCCTCACAACCCAGATATGAACCCAGAACTGCGCAAGGCCCTCCTGCAGGATTCCGCCCCACAGCCTGTGTTACCTCAACCCCAGATGGCCTTCCCACGTCGCTCCCGCCGTCTGTCCAAGGAGGGGATTCTGCCTTCCAACTCCCTCGATGGAGCTGGTACCCAACCTGGGCAGGAGCCCACAGGCAATCTGTTCCTTCATCACTGGCCTCTTCAGCAGCCACCACCAGGCTCCCTAGGGCAGCCCCACCCGGAGGCCCTGGGTTTCTCATTAGAACTAAGGGAGTCACAGCTTCTGGCTGATGGGGAGAGACTAGCACCCAACGGTCGGGAGCGGGAGGCTCCCCCCATGGGTAATGAGGAGGTCATGAGGTCTGGGGGTCTAGGGGACTGTGGACAGATGATACGAGGTGGGGTGATCCAGAGCACAAGACGGAGGCGCAGGGCATCCCAGGAGGCTAACTTGCTGACACTGGCCCAGAAGGCGGTGGAGCTGGCTTCACTGCAGGTGAGAGTGAGGGCCACAGCTGGTCTCAGGCAGGGTCTGGGATGGAGTGGGAAATAAATGGTGCCAGGGCCCCCCACCCAACCCCCGACAGGGTTTCACCGTGTAGCCTTGGCTTCCTGGAACATGCTCTATAGATCATGATAGCCTTGAACTCACAGAGATCCACCTGCCTCCTGAGTGTTGGGATTTAAAAGGCATGCACCACCACCGCCTAGCAACGCTAGGCTTATAGGGTAGTTTCTGCAGTTATTTAAAGGAAATTAAAGTTCTTCATTCAGAGGACCCCTCCTGGAGGCACCCATACCTGTAGTGAGGGATGCTGAGGTTTCTCCACATGGAGGTTGGTGGACCTGAGGTTGTTGGCTTCTTTGTGTGGAACTTGAGGATTGGGAGTAGGGGGTGCTCGGAGCCAGTATTCCAAGATTCAGAAATGTACTGGTGGTTACCGAGGTGATGCTTGTCAGTATCATTGACTGTGATCTAAAACAGGTTTGTTTGGTTGGCTATAAAATCGTTGCAATAAACTTTATTTTTTAAAGGGAGGAAAACCAAACAGAATTTGAGAACTAGTGTTACCTTGGGGTTTCAGTTTTATTTTATACTTGCTCAGAAGTAACCTCTCATCAAACGCAACAGCAAGGGGTAGGTCACCTACCTGTCCCAGGTTTCTGTAAAGAGGCTGAACCAACTGGGAATTTGCAGGACCATGTAATCCGGATAGACTCCCCATTTGATCGTCGTTTACTCTCTCCTTCTTTGTTGTGGACTGTTGCCTTTAGGTCCAGGTTGTCATACTGGAGGCTGCAGAATTTTAGGGTCTTCATTTCAGTCAGATACCCCTGAGGAAGTAGCTGCAAAGACCTCTCTTCATCTTGCCACACAGCAAGATGCCTTGTTACGTGCTACACTCTGTATGCTAGATGCTCAGTTGTGGACTGAGATGACGACTTGGAATGGCTTGCTTCAGGTCAGGGTGCACAAGCAGGCAGAAGGAGGCTTTGGAGAATATCTGAAATGTATAGGAAGAGGGTGGATCAGGAAAGGCCAGGTCGTCAAAGGCCCATGAGGGTGTGGTTGAGTTGCTGGATTGAGTGGGCGTGGGAGTCCTAGATCAGCAAACGGGGACTCACCCCCAATCTCCCTCATCTCCAGGACGCCAACGGCTCTGAGGAAAAGCGGAAAAGTGTGCTGGCCTCCACTGCCAAGTGCGGAGTGGAGTTTTCTGAGCCTGCCTTAGCTGCCAAGCGAGCACGCGAGGAGAGTGGGATGGTGCCCCTCATCATCCCAGTATCTGTCCCTGTGCGGGCTGAGGTGGCCCAAGTGGGAAGTGTCGATGAGGACGGGAAAGGTCTTGAACAGTACCCTGCTGAGCACAAGCCATCGGTCATCGTGACTCGCAGGCGGTCACGAGTTCCTGGGACGGATGCTTCAGCTCAGGTATGAGACCGTTCACCAGATTCCTCCAGTGCCAGAGCTGCTAGCTCCAAAGACTCCAAGGGAAGCAGTAGGTGCTTCAAGGAACCCAGGGGGGAAGTTGTTTTCTCTATTATGTCTGTTTAGCACATGCATGTCACGTCCAGGAATCCAGAAGACAGCGTCAGCCCCTGGAACTGTGGTTATGGAAAGTAGGAGCCACCATGTGGGTACTGGAAATGAAACCCTGGACCTCTGGAAGAGCAGCCAGTGCACTAACCACTAATTCATCTTCCTACTTGTTGGGGAGATACTGTTTTTATTTTCCAAATCAAACTTGTACTAAGGTACATAGAGACAGTTTCAAGCTTGAAGTTTGTGGTTTTGGGGGAGAATCTAGGGTGTGAACCTTTTGTCAGGAAACTTTGATGGCCCCTGGTGAAGGTCCTGAGTTACCTCCTGGGGTGTAGAAGTGGTCGCTTGTTCTGTTCACTTCTGAGCTTAGCACCTTAGTTTACCCGCTAAGGCTGTGGTTGTATTTTTTCTTTTTTCCTCTGTCGGTTTTGTATGTCTTGATAGGATGTTCTGGGTGTCTGCACGTCCAGACCTGGATGAGAGCGTGGGGCTTCCTTTCATCGTTTGCATCTTTTGGTGTTTAGCATTCCTTTGATGAGTGTTGGCAGCACGCATCTTTCTGTCCTTTCTGTTCCCATCCTCTCTATACCCTTCAGGAATATTTTCAAGTAGTATACTTTGCCGTTTGCCACTTTCTAGCCTAACCAATACAATTTTTATTTTTCTATTTACTTATTCCTAAAAATTGCATGCATGAAGTTTTATATGTATATGTGTGTGTGTGTAGTCAGTATGATATATATATGTATGTGTGTGATGTAGTAGACCTGCTAAACCAAGCTAACCAAGCTAATTAGCATAGTCATTACCTCACATCCCTAATTTTTTTTTTTTTTTGGTGGTGAGAACATTTAAGATCTGGTCTCTTAGCAATATCTCTAAGAGTAATAAATTAATACAGTGAGTAATGAAAGCCATCATGTTGTACAATAGGCCTCCTGAATTGATATCTCCTGTTTTTACTGAAAGTATGTTTTCTTTGATCATCTTCCCAATCTTCACTGCAGCTCCAGCCCTTGGCAACAGCCGTTCCTACTGTCTGCAAGGAGTTCGACTCCACTGATAGAATCTCTGCTTAATGTAATTACTGATATACCTTCGTTGAACCTCTGTTACTGCTGTTAGCTCTCTGCCTACATCATCCTGCCTCTGCTATGATCTGATCCCCCACCCCCATGTTTTAAATGGACTGGGATTGTCACTCCGGTCTCTCCTTTGTTAACACCATATTAGTTATATACTTAATTACGTCTCTTTTTAGTGGTTGTTTTAGTAGGCATCTTACCTGGATTTCTACAGAGTGACCCAGCCACAGCTTCTTTTAACAGAGCAACGTTGCAGCTGTACATTGAAAGCTAGGTCAGGAGCTCTTTGTACCAGATCTCAGCACAAAGCTACTCCTAGTATTTCTACTGCTTCTTTTTCTTCTTCATTTATTTACTTATATCATTTTTATGTGAACGGATGTTTTGCTTGTCTGTCTGTCTGTGGACCATATATGGGTTAGTGCCCGTGGGAGCCAGAAGAGGGCGTCAGGTCCCTTGGGACTAGAGTTACAGTTAATTGTGAGCTACCATGTGGGTGCTGGGAATTGAACCTGGGTCCTCTGGAAGAGCAATCAGTTCTCTTAACTGTTTAGCCATCTCTCTAGACCCCTAATATTGGTTTAATTTTTCTATTATCTTAGCACTGGATATCTTGAAAATGAATAAATAACTCAGGCTTGTGTGTTAGCGTGTATATGTGTACACATGTATACAGATGTACATACTTGTGTATGTGCACCTATGATGGCCAGAGGGATGTCTTCCTCACTTACTTTTTATCTTGGCTTTTGAGCTGGGATCTCTTATTGAACCTGGACCTTGATGCTTCAGCTAGATTGGCTGAGTATCAGGTCCCAGGGATCCTCCTGTCTTCCTCTCCCAAGCCTTGAGATTACAGATGTTTGCCACCACATCTGGCTTTTTTTTTTTTTTTTCCCCAAGACAGGGTTTCTCTGTGGCTTTGGTGCCTGTCCTGGAACTAGCTCTTGTAGACCAGGCTGGTCTCGAACTCACAGAGATCTACCTGCCTCTGCCTCTGCTCCCAAGTGCTGGGACTAAAGGCGTTGCACCAAGACATCTGGCTTTTTAAAATAGGTTCTGGGGTTCCAAACTCAGGTCCTCATGTTTGAGTGTCAAACACTTTCCTGGCTGAGCCATCTCCCCAGCCCTCCTATACTTATTTTTTTCTATGAAATCTTTATTTCCTTCAATTTTGTTCAGTTAACATCCCCCCACCTTAGAGATCATTCTAAAGCCTGAAATGTCTTCCTATCCTCAATTCTTCCACCTTCTATAAGAATTCATCTTTGTTTTGCTTGTTGTTTGTTTTTTGAGACAGGCTTTCTCTGTGTAGCCCTGGCTGTCCTGGAATTGCCTCTGTAGACCAGGCTGGCCTCAAACTAAGAGACCCGCCTGCTCCAGTCTCTTGAGTGTTGGGATTAAAGGTGTGCAACACTACCACCCACCTCACGAATTCATCTTTATATGCTATTTTATTTGCCAGATCTGAAGCCATGGCGTCATGGCCAATTGTTAAAATTTACTTGAAGAGCGTGTGTGTGTGTGTGTGTGTGTGTGTGTGTGTGTGTGTGTGTGTGTGTGTTTCAGTGTGTCAGGGTTCCACCAATTCTCTTCTTCAAAAGGGCATTTATCTTGACTCTTGGTGGCTAGCAAAGGGCCCTGGTGATCCCGAGTCACTTTTCCTTAATCAGAAACAGATATAGCTTTATCCTGTTTCCACTCACCTTCATCCTGAGCCACAGTCTTTATTCTGGTAGCTCTTGAAGTTGTTAAAACTCTTAGCCCCTTCCCCCTCTCAGGTGCTTCTTGCAGTAATTAGATTCACCTACAGATTTAAGACTGCTCAGATGCTGTGTTCATTGTTTGACCCCACGTCCACCCCGGGTCTTGGGTCTGTAACTCTTTGTCAAGCTGTGTGTTCTGAACCTTTAGGAATGACTTTTCTATTCAGTTTAAATTTACCATTTATTTGGTTGGAGAGCTAGCCTGCATATGCCTGTTCTCCATAATAGGAAAAAGATTATTGCGAGGTAATTCATTCAAGCTTATGGGCTCTCTGAGGTCTCGCTCTGTGGTTGAGGGAAAGTTTGTGTTAGAGGCTGGACGTTGAGGCCTGGCAGCTTGTCTTGAGAGTGGGTAAGAAGGAGCACGGACAACTACCTAGTCAGCATATCCATTCGTATGTGAGGAAACAGGTCCGGAAAAGTCCAGAGGCTGTACTAGTCTGCGTTTCATCACTGTAACCAAACACCCGAGGCAGGCTAACATAATGAAGAGTTTCAGTTTGGCTTGTTGCTCTAGAGGTACAAAGTCCAGGGGCCTTTCATGATGATAATCATCTTGCAGGCTGAGTTTCAAGATAATTGCAGAGCCCCACAGAGAAAAAGATAGGGAGCACATGTGTCTGTCTATGTCTCTGGTCTCTGTTCCTCTGAGGCCACCCAGGATTCAACAATGGTGGCTCTACTGTAATGACCTCATCTAAACCTAATCAGTCACCTCCCTGCCTCCAAACATCATCTGGACTTCAATGTCCACCTTCTTAATACTGTCCATTGATATGAGGCTTTGAGGACAAGACCCCCACATGAGTGCATGCTTGGGGTGAAAAACGATAACTCAGCCTGGTGACTTGGTACAGCTCAGTGGTAGGCCACTTGCTTAACGTGCAGGTCCCAGGTTCCATCCCCCATCATCAGTTTGTGTTAGAGGCTGGAAGTTGAGAGTTGAGGCCTGGCAGCTTGTCCTGAGAGTGTGTAGGAAGGAGCCTGCGGACCTCTGCACACCTGAGCACTGACATAAAGTCCTGCAAACAGGTAATGGCAGAACTGACCCTGGATTGCATCATGAGAGCCAGTCTTTGTTGGTTTGTTTGTTTGTTTGTTTTTTGAGGCAGGGTTTCTCTATGTAGCTTTGGAGCTTCTGGCACTTGCTCAGGCTGGCCTCAAACTCATGGAGATCCACCTGCCTCTGCCTCCCAAGTGCTGGGATTAAAGGCGTTCACTACCACTACCTGGCTAAATACAGCCAGTCCTATTTCAACTGTACTCTCACACCCTGAGTTATTTTGAAGCACATTTCATCCACAAATACTTTTGATTACATCTGAATACAATCATATAGCCTGCCTTCCTTCCTTCCTTCGTCCCTCCCTTCTTCCCTCCCTCTGTCCTTCCCTATCTCCTTCCTCCTTTTTCTTTATAAAATAGTCTCAATGGCCACACCTTAAAAGTCAAAAACACTCAAAACAATTTAAATCTCTTAACTACAAATAGTTGGAGCTGGTTTTGTATGGGATTGCTAGCACACTGGGGAGGCATTTAGCTCCTTTTCTAGTTTTCTGTTGCTGTGATAAACACCAAGACCAAAGCAACTTGAGGAGGAAAGAGTTTATTTCATCTCATTGTTTATATGAAGGGAAGTCAGGAAAGGAGGCAGGAGCTGAAGCAGAGGCATGGAGGGAGCTGCTTACTGGCTTATTCAGTCTGCCTTTTTTTGTTTTCTTTGAGACGGTGTTTTCCTGGCTGTCCTGGAGCTCACTCTGTAGACTGGGCTGACCTTGAACTCACAGAGATCCACTTGCTTCTGCCTGTGGGATTAAAGTGCTGGGATTAAGGGCGTGGGCCACCCTGTCTCAGCTTGCCCTCTTTAGGAATGTGGGAACACCCACCCAGGTGGATTGCCCACAGTGGGCACACATCAGCTATCAGTTAGAAGATGCCCCGAGACCTGTAGTCAGGCCTACACGGCCTGAGGCAGTTCCTCAACTGAGATTCCCCTTTCCTAGAAGTTTGGTTGGTGTCAGGGTGACAGCTAGCATAGCTCCACTGCAGTTTTATTTTTCCTGTGTAGTCACTCTTCCCCTAAAGGCAGAGGGATGAATGTTCTAAGTTCATCCTAATTAGTAGAAAGGAAACGGGGCCACACAGGAAGGAGCAGAGGTCATGCTAAGGCCTCAGAAGCACAGGGCCCCCTAGGCTGGGTCTCTGGAGCAGGGATAGCCTCAGTCAACATGGCTGACATGGTTCACTGTGTGCCCAGAGATGCTTTAGGAGCCACTCACCCATGACAGCTGCCTGCTTCCCTTTTGAGAGTTTTAGGCTCTGTCTTGATGGACCTTCTGCATAGAAGCCCATGAGGCTTCTATACTATATAGACAGAGTGTGAGCTAGGAAGGCCAACCTCTGATAACATTCCCAGCTCAGGTTCTGTCTGGCGCACAAAGCAAGCGTCAATCCCATGCGGAATCTGGCCTTTAAGTAGTAATAGCAGAAATGTTACTACAACCACAGAGTATTGATTTCCATACATTAGCTCATATTACTATACAGGCGGCTGAGCCATCCTTGCTCTGTTCTGTTTCCCTCTCCAGGCTAAGGATCTGAATGTCAAATCGGAGGCTGTGCTCAGTTGTAGGGTGCTTGCCTAGCATACACAAGGCCCTGGGTTCTGCCTTTGTCACCACAAAACAAATAGGCTTATTAATGTCCACATACTAGCTTATTTTAATCTTCATTGCTGCCTGGTCGGGTAGGCTTTTCCTGTCCTATTTCCACATTAAAAATGGAGGTGGAGGTTGGAAGGATGGCTCAGTGATTAAGAGTGCTTGCTGCCAACCCATAACCACCTGTAACTCCACTCCAGGGGCTCCCCAATCTTTGGGGACCCACACACAAATGGCAGACATTCACACGGACATATGTGTACACACAAGTAAAAGCGTCCTGTGTGTGTGTGTGTGTGTGTGTGTGTGTGTGTGTGTGTGTGTGTGTGTAGATGCACACAGGAATCTACCGTTTTAAATAGCCAGCAAAGGTGACAGGTCTGTCTAAGCAATGGAGTGTCTGGGTCCTTTCCCAACTCAACTCTTTCAGATTGCATACATTACAGCATTGATTGGGAGCTATGGCCTGGAACCCAAATTTAGAACTAAGAGTAATTTCTAGGTTTTTTGACAGGACTCCTTCCTTCCTTCCTTCTTTCTTCCTAATTTTTATTTTATAAAGGAAATGGAGGACAGGTGGTTCCTAAGACCTAAAGACCTTCGGCCTTTAGGTGACGCTTGCTAGCCTGAACCTGCCTGGAGGAGACAATAGGCTGGTTTTCGGTGCCTTCTCCTCATCTTTCAGGCTGCCTTGGGTGCATCGGGCAGACAGTTTCAGAGATGACATTGGCGGTGGCAGGCTCCAGTCAAGGCTACAGGTTTCTGGAGACACACAAAAGGTTGAGCCTCTCTGTTCTGTTTCTGCCTCCAGGCTGAAGACCTGAATGTCAAGTTGGAGGGAGAGCCTTCCATTCGGAAACCAAAGCAGCGGCCACGGCCCGAGCCCCTCATCATCCCCACCAAGGCGGGCACTTTCATCGCCCCTCCTGTCTACTCCAACATCACCCCCTACCAGAGCCACCTTCGCTCTCCTGTCCGCCTAGCTGACCACCCCTCTGAGCAGAGCTTTGAGCTGCCCCCCTACACACCGCCCCCCATTCTCAGCCCCGTCCGGGAAGGCTCTGGCCTCTACTTCAATGCCATCATATCAACCAGCAGCATCCCAGCCCCTCCTCCTATCACGCCAAAGAGTGCCCATCGTACCCTGCTCCGTTCTAGTGAGTGGCCTCGTGGCTGTAGTGGCGGGGCCTGTAGGGGGAGAGAGAGTGCAGTCAATGGGCTGGAGGCTGGACGAAGGAACTCTTTCCTGCTTGGATTCTGATCCTTGTTCCACTGCTTACTATCACTTGTACAAGTCCAGCTGTCCAGACCTCAATGTGCTCCTTCAATATTCAGCAGGGATAAGATTAGTCATACTTGGCTAATGGTGGATTTGCTGATATTCAGCTGTTAGAGCCACACACAGCAGTTTCCCCATGGTTAACCTAATAGGTATGTCCCCTGGTTGTGGTGGGGATCAGATCCCTTAGCATTGTTTCTGTTAGCTGTCTGACCTGGTCTCCTGAGCCTGTTGGACATGAGCAGGTCTGGGTGTTGTAAGACCTAAAAATGTCCCTTTCACAAAGGGTTTATTTTCCCTGATCACTTACAGTGGTATCACAGGGGTGCATTCTTCACCCAGTTAACCTCTGACCCCAGAGCTCACCCGTGGTGTGGTTCTCTGGTGCCTCCTGGTGTCTGTGGATGGAAATTGCCCTATGTTGGCAGGCATAGGCTTTGCTTCTCAGCTAAGCTTTTCTGCCTGGCTCCGTTTGTGCTGGAAATCACCAAGGAGGGCAGACTGTCAACCAAGATGTCAGTCTGTCCAACAAGTGTTTCCTGAGCATTGGGTGTAAAACCTTGAGTGGATGCTGTGCAGGCTCCAAGAATGCGTGGGACGCTGGTCCTCAGTCTAAAGAAAGAACAGTGCAGGCTCGTCCGGGAATTGACAAGAAAGCCTGGGAGACAGAAGCAGAGGTTCCTGGCAGTTAGGATCAGCACCCAGTGAATGGGGCCGACACCGAACTTCCAGCCTGCAGAAACCTGGTTAGCTAAGGAAAGAATTTGGGAAATGGTGGAGACAGCTAAGCTTGAACTACAGAGTGGGAGGGCCAGGCAGGGCACTGCAGGCGTGGGGTGGGGCTGAGCAGAGGGGAAAGAAGGCCATGAGGTTAGTGAGCCTCTAGGGTTGAGAGTCTGGGCCGTGGGAGGTGCAGACACATGGGGGACTGCCTTGAACAGCTGAGGGTTTCAGGTTTTGTCTGACGCTGCAGAGAAACAACAACAGAGGTTTTGTTTTGAGTAAGGGTGTGCCTTGATCTAGTCTGGCCTTAAGATTAACTTGGATGAGAGTGAGGCAAAAAAATTCAGAGAGGAAATAAGATAATTATAAAAGACACCCCCCTCAATCTCCCCAGAGTGCCTCCAGTTTCAACCTCTTTGCTAGAATAAAACCAAAGTAAAACATAGGTCTCTATACTGAAGCTTTTGGAGTGGGGGTTCCTAGAAGCAGGAGTTGGGCTCAGGTGGTTGTGCTGACAACATCGCTAATGGCCATGGAGTAACCAGGTTCTTACTTAATTCAGAATTCTCATTACCCCCAGGAGGCAGAAAGAAATAGCCCCTTTTTGCAGATGTGAAAACTGAGGTGCCCACATATTTAATGAAGGGCCTGAGTTGCACAGTCATCGAGTACGGAGGGCGCCAGAGTTCCAAGTGTACTCAGTGAGTCACCACTGTGACTCTTAAGCATGCAGGACAGCAGCCTAGGATGGGAGTGTTTTCCTGAAGGGAGGAAGGGGCCACTTACCAATATGCTCTTTGTCCATAGATAGTTCTGAAGTCACCCCGCCCGTCCTCTCTGTGATGGGGGAGGCCACCCCTGTGAGCATCGAACCGTAAGTACAGCCTGCCCCAGGCACATGGCGTGTGGGTGGCCAGGTGGGCCTAATGCATTGCAGATTAGCTCCTGTGAGGCCTGCACACAAACAGGCAGCCTCTTTGGGCTTCTGTAGTCTGTCCCAGGCTCTACTGTCTCTGCCTGCTTGTGTATGGAAGCTGCTGGGAGAAGAAAGGGAAGGCCCAGGTTGGCTTGAATTTGTCACTAGGGAGAGCTGGGTGGGGTGGGGCGTCCAAGACACTCTCCTTATCTGTCAAATATGGAGTAGCTTTTCCACCCTTTAGCCCCTGGGCCTTACCTTTCTGATAATACCAGCCAGATTCGCTACACCCAGCTCTGGCCTTGCTGCATGAATTCAGCGCCCGCCAGCTCCATTGTTTCCGACACATGCTAGGGAGGGAAGTTCCCTGTCCCCCTAAGGTGAGACCTCACTCCATTTCTTACTGCCCCTGCAGACGGATCAACGTTGGTACCCGGTTCCAAGCAGAAATCCCCATGATAAGAGACCGTGCCCTGGCAGCTGCAGACCCCCATAAGGCTGACTTGGTGTGGCAGCCATGGGAGCATCTTGAGAGCAGTTGGGAGAAACAGAGACAAGGTAAGGAGAGATCTCCAGGGAGCAGGCCATGGCAGGCTGGCGGGCGGGCAGATAGGCAGGCCGGGTGGGTCCCGCAAGGTCCAGCATGGATCGTGATTTCCTCTTGTCCTCCAATGCTCCTGGGAATCCAGTGGATGACCTGCTGACAGCTGCCTGCTCAAGCATTTTCCCTGGTGCTGGCACCAACCAGGAACTGGCCCTGCACTATCTCCATGAGTCTAGAGGGGACATCCTGGTAAGAAAGCCTTGCTGATTTGGGGGGGTCCCCTTAAGAAAGCAGATACTGGTCCCTCCCTCTCCGCTGCCAGGAGCAGGCCTGGTGGTATAAAAGTTTATTGATTTACACTTGCTTTTCTGCATGTGTTCTAATGGGGGGGGGGGACGACGACATCATGACTGTCAACCTTGCCCTGGCCTCCTGAGTACTAGGGTGCGTTGGCATGGTGATTTGAGGTAGCTACGAGAGTTCTGACCAAGGAAGAGGATACAATAACCTACGACAATAGTTTGGCCTAAGGGAACTTTAGTCTCAAACCCTAGCTGCTTATGTAAAGTCCTTCTGTTGAATCTAATCCCAGATTCTAGGTCGGTAGGTTCCCCCACTCTCAGAATTGTCACCAAGGGCATTCTCTGCCCATGCTGCTTGCTTTGGGGGTTGAGCATCCCTGCAATGGTCTCAGAAGCCCCACCTTCTGTGATTTTTGCCATCCTCCCATACGTCCTGCCTGGTAGAGTTAAACCGGACAGGAGCAAGTGCTTGCTTTACCTAGAGGCCTGCACAGGCCCTTTGCGTGCTGCCAGGCCCAGGATACTCAGCCCCTCACTGCAACTCTTCAGCTTCCTGACAGCCCTTTCTTCTCCTCCAGGAAGCACTGAGTAAGCTGCTGTTGAAGAAGCCCGTGAGGCCCCACAATCACCCACTGGCAACTTACCACTACACAGGTGGGCCTGGCTGACAGAGTAGTCATGTGGTTCGGGTGTCTCCAGCATCGGTGGGGCTCTGCTCAGTGCTGAGTCACAGCCCTGAATGGGAGTGTGGACAGGGAGAGCAAGCCAAAAGTCAGACCAAGGAAACTAATATCAAGGCCAAGTTGGGACTCCCCATACCCTTAGAGGGGAAGCGTGAAGTGGGTAAGGCAATCCATGCCCCCCCCCCAAAAAAAAAAGCCCAAGTCATGGGTACAAAGGTAGGGAATGCTATCAACTGATTTCAGGGACGGGGAACTTAAACCTTGGAGTGCTTGTCTTAGTGTAGATGCTGTACTGAAGAGGGACACTGATGCCATCATGTAATCCCAGTAGCTGCTGCTGTTGAGCCTCTGTTAGGTCCGTGTTTGTTTGTACCAGGCAGAGAGAGCCTCAAGGTTGTCCCACCTTATAGCATCTAGTCTTTCTCGGACCCGGGAAGGCAGGTGCTAGTAGTGTTCATTCCCGTTTGACAAGCAAAGGGAGTGAGGCTTCCCGAAGCTGGTGGCGAGTGACCCAAGCAGTGTGGGTGGCCTCACCCTCAGTGGCTCAGAGTCATAGGGCAGGTGCTCATGTTCCTGGTACCGTCTTTGCTCTTTAGGCTCTGATCAGTGGAAGATAGCTGAGCGGAAGCTGTTCAACCAGGGCATCGCCATCTACAAGAAGGATTTCTTCCTGGTGCAGAAGCTGGTGAGCAGGGGTGCATGAGGGGTCCTGTGGTCACTCACCAAGTGGTCGGATGGCAGGGTGTGTCTGAGTTCCAACAGTCACTGCAGTTAGATCCCTGCCATCAGGTAGCTCCAGGGACAGCTTTGTAAACCACAGCTTGTACAGAGGACCCTCTGTGGACCTCTGAGCTCTCCTGGGGCCAGGTAGGGGAGCGTCAGAGAAAAGGTGTGGGAATGTATCTCTCAAACCAAATCCAGTGGTCAGCTAGATCTATGAAATGGGAGGGCAGATGTCAGAGTCTGAGAGGATCATGGGGATGATCTCATGGTTCTGGCATCACACCACGTACTCTTCACGCATGAAGAAACAGAAATTGGGAAGGTGAGTGACTTGCTTTAGGGTGCACAGTCCTTTGGTGGCAGGTAGTAAAGGCTAGGAGGGCCTTCTGCTTCCTCTCTGGGTTTTCCCTGAATCTTCCCCAACATGACGTTTCTCTTCTTTGCTTGGCACCTGGTCCCTGGAGAGGAGTGAAACAGTTCCCCAGATTGATGAAGGGCGTTTGCGCTGCTGTATTGGGGCTGGCTTTGGATGTGGAAAGATGCCCAGATGTTTCTCCGTGTACTAAATGGAGAAGAGAAGGGTAATTCCGTAAATGCCCATTAAAAATGCCTTGCTGGGGGCTGGAGAGATGGCTCAGCAGTTAAGAGCACTGGCTGCTCTTCCACAGGACCCGGGTGCAATTCCCTGCACCCACATGGCAGCTCGCAACTATCTGCAGTTCCTATTCCAAGGGACCTGCCACCCTCACAGACACAATAAATGCACATAAAATACATTTTTAAAAAATGCCTTGCTGAGATTTACTGGTTTTACCATTTGTCCCATTTTCTTTCTCTTTCTGCATCTAAACGCCCACCATGAAATACACACATCCCTCTCTTCATTCTCCCTGTTTGAGCTAATCATTGAAAGTAAGCTATGGCTGGGCCTGGGGCTGTCTAGGCTTATAATCACAGAGTTTTGGGAGGGTGTGGTGGGAGGATTGAAAGCTCAAAGCCAATTTGGGCTACTGAAGTGAGTTCAAGGCTAGCCTAGTTAATGAGACCCTGTCTCAAAACTCAAAAAAGGAGAGGTGGGTTGGGAGTACTATTTAATGGTTGAGCATTTGCCTTGCTTGTTCAAGGCTACAGGTTCAGTCCCCAGTACAGGAGTATGGGGGTGGGGGGGATGGTTATTTTCAAATAAAACTGCCCTAAGCATTGGCAAGCAATTTAAACTGCATATTAAGAGGCCCGTGGAGATGATCTCATGGTTCAAGCATCACTTCACTTACTGTTTCACATGTGAAAAAGCAGCCCTTAGGGCGATGAGCCCCTTTTTATCCAGGACTCTAGGAAGAGTCTTGTGAACTGAGAAGCTGATGAGGGATGAGAAAGCTCAGTCCATCACACCACAGGTGCAGATGACAGACGACCCAAGCAAGGCTCCTGAGCCCCTGCTGCTCTTACTGGCCCAGAGTGGCTTCTCATGGCACAGCCCTCTAGGATCTAGTCAAATCTCCCCAGAAATTCTGCCGTTGTCCTTCAGGTGTTACTCATTGAGACGGTGCGGAAGCCTCCATTAATTCCACTCGTTGCGGAGGAGGCATTGAGAAATGGTGTTTGGGGCTTAGTTTTTAGTTGGTTTTTGAGATAGGGTTCTCTGTGTTGCTTTGGAGGCTGACCTAGAACTCTCCCTGTGGACCAGGCTGGCCTTGAACTGAGATCAGCCCGTCTCTGCCTCTCAAAGGATGGGATTAAAGGCGTGCGCTGCTGCTGCCGCCGCCGCCACCGCCGCCACCACCTGCCTTGGGTGTAGTTTTTTGCCTAAGGCTAAGGGGAGTATGCAGAGAGAGAAGAAAGGTGAGCCACCTTAGCTCCCTCTGACCTCAGTTTTGGCTTTAATTCAGATCCAGACCAAGACTGTGGCCCAGTGTGTGGAGTTCTACTATACCTATAAGAAGCAGGTGAAAATTGGCCGCAATGGGACGCTCACCTTCGGCGATGTGGATACAAGGGACGAGAAATCAGCCCAGGAAGAAGTGGAAGTGGACGTTAAGGTGAGTCCTGTCCCAGCGCCTGCTGCCTCCTCCTACCGTAGCGCTGGAAGCTTGAGGCCAGATGGACTCTCCTGGCTTTATAAATGGTAGGCAGAGGGAAACCCATCCCTGACAGCCCCCAGGAGTTGGCAGCCCAGGCCCTGGACCTTTGAGTTCTCCCATAGCAGCTGCTGGGTCATAGTGCTTGGTGCTGATAAGGAACACTGGAGAGTCGGCGGCACCAGCTTCACCTGCCTGTCCCCTCAGAGCAGACTGCTGACGTCGCTTCTGAGCTCTAGACCTTCTTACACCACGGTTTCTGCTGTCTACGCCCTAACATAAGCCGCTACTACTAATTCTGTCATGTCCCATACTACTTTCATTATTCACTTTTTGAGTCAACTCACTTCTTTTTTAAAAGGGAAGCTTTGTATTACAATCATAAATAGATAACCAGTATTGTTTCCTGTAAATAGAAGGTGCCGGGAAAGGCAAGTACACATGAAAACCAAACACTGTTACTAAATGCCGGCTACACGCTGTAATCGCCTGCCAGCACTCTGAGGCACAGGGCTGGCTTGTCTTTGACATAAATCATGAGGCCTAGGGAAGCAGAAGCGGTACATTGACACCCCCCCCCCCAAGGACGTGCTTTCACTCTGTGCCATGTGTCACCGTGATACTGTCTCTAAGTTACAAGGCCATACTTGGTGGCATGCTACTTTGAGACCAGGGAGTAGTTTGGTCCCCATATTGCAAATGGGAAGTAGAGATACAGAAAATGTCAGATAGTTAAACGGGAGCTCAGAGCTCCTGCCTGGCATACTCTGAGGTCACCCTGCCCAAAGGGTGCTCACCCTGCCCAAAGGGTGCCCAGAAGATTCTAGGCATCTCTCCAGGAGACCAGGTGGTTTGTGGGTCCTGGCATGCTCCCTCCCTAACCCTGGCTCTATCTCACCCCGAGGGCACCCAGGGTCAAGACTACTCTGTCTCTGGGCCAGCTGGCCATGGGAGGGCTGTGAGTTAGACAGAGGCCCAGTGTAAGAGGCTACCCTGGGCCAAGATAGGCGACAGGAGCAGCTGATGCTGCGGAGCCTTGGCTGCGTTCAGAGTCTGCTCTGGGCAATGACTGAGCTCGTGTTTGTCCCCCATAGACTTCTCAGAAGTTCCCAAGGGTGCCTCCTCCCAGAAGAGAGTCCCCCAGTGAAGAGAGGCTGGAGCCTAAGAGGGAAGTGAAAGAACCCAGGAAGGAGGGGGAGGAGGAGGTGCCAGAAACCCAGGAGAAGGGAGAGCCGGAAGAAGGGCGGGAGCGCAGCCGCAGGGCCGCGGCTGTCAAAGCTACGCAGACACTACAGGCCAATGAGGCGGTAAGTGACCCCCACCTTCGCTCTGAGCTCAGGCCAGGAAGGCAGAGCTAGGCCTGGGGGTGTGGGGGTATAGAGCAAGACCATAGTGATTCTCGTGGTTATAACTCAGGAAGTGGACCGAGTACTTTATGCTCTCAACTTACTTGGGCCTCAGCCCTGTGTGGTAAGGGCTATTATGAATCTCATTTTACAGATAAGGAAACTGAGATTGAAGGTAATGTAGCTTGTCTGCAATTCATATGCACACCCCCCCACACACGCACGCACGCACGCACACGCACTCTGTGTGTGTTTCTGTGTCTTACAGTCAGAGGGAAAAGACTTGGAAAACCCAGTGGATGTGTGTGACATGGGGGAGCACTCAGCTGTAATTCGTCGTGGCTACCCCTAACGCATGCGCTGGACAAGATGTCTGAAGTAGAGCTAAGACTGTGACGATACCGATCATGGCCCTTTATGTTCTCTGCTGAGTGTTTCAAGTTCATTATCTCGTTAATTCCTCCTCATAACCGCCCAAAGTGCTAACTCCCACTCAGCAGATGGGGGATCGGGTCCAGAGATGCCATTTGACTTGCCAAGGCACACCGCAGGTCTCGGTACTCTGAGTGGAGTGCTCTGACCCCTTCACCGGCTCAGCAAGGCATCTCACTGTGGTTCCCGTCAGGAGAGCTCTCCCAGGAAGGCGGGAGGTGGAATGCGTTTCCACACTGCAGAGCACCTGTCAGCCAAACAGCTGCTTGCTTCCTCCCTGCTTGGCTGATCCTTGCTGGGGGCTGTGCGCTCCCCGTGCTGTCTGGTTCTGTCTTTGTGAACACTTGGGGGTTGACTGAGGCAGGCACATTTGTCACTTGTGATGGCCATCTGGGGTTCCTGGCCTGAGGCCAGAGCAGGGCCCTCCTTGGGGTACACGCCAGGGGCCCTGCCCTCTCCTCTCATGACACCGATTCATTCTCTTCTGCCTTCCCTGCCAGCGCTTCCTCAGCAAGGGGCCGTCATCTCTGTCCCTTTCATTACACTAGGAACTTTTCTGGAGACGGGGCTCCTGAGGACTGTCTCCCTACCACCTGGCACATCATGGGAACATTTCTTTCTAGCATGAAGACATGATTGGATGGAATGTTGGAAAGCATGAACACAGTGCCAGTAGTATTCAGGCCTATAGCTGCCAAGGTGTGGCACAGAATTCCTGTGCCAGCCACTTGGTGATTGAGCTCGAGGCAGCCCAAGCGGCAGTGACCTCCTGGAGGGGTCCTGTCACTGGAAGGGGGTACTAGATGACTATTTGGCAGGAATGGATGAGTCCCTCTGTTCCACGCTTGCCTCTAAAATACACCCTTGCTGTTGTCTCCAGGCCAATGATGTTCTCATTCTCCGGAGCCACGAACCCAATGCCCCGGGGCCTGCGGGTGCTCAGACCTCAGAGAAAGCAAGGGAGGGGCCCGGGAAGTCGAGAAGAGCGCTGCCTTTCACAGAGAAGAAGAAGAAACCCGAGACATTTAATAAAACCCAAAACCAGGAGAACACTTTCCCTTGTAAAAAATGCGGCAGGTAAGATGTCCCTGCTGTGTCTCCACAGGGACTTTTTTAAGAGTGTTGGGACAGGGACCTGGACGCAAGTTGGGGTCTAGAAGCTTCTGGGAATGGGGCACTGTGGATCTGTTTTTTGATTGGCTCAGTGGGTTCCCAGGGCAATGACATCATGGGCAGGCATGGTTTGAAGTGTGTGTATGGAGGGACCATTGAGATGGGTGGAGGTAGGGGCTTTGGAATTTGAGGGTGTTACTGAGTGAAAGGTGCCAAACCCTAACCCCCGGCTTCCTCTCTGTCACCTGAACCCTTCGTGCCCGCTGCAGGGTGTTTTACAAGGTGAAGAGCCGGAGCGCTCACATGAAGAGTCATGCCGAGCAGGAGAAGAAGGCTGCAGCTCTGAGGCTGAAGGAGAAGGAGGCTGCAGCTGTGCACCAGCAGGCGCTGAGGGAAGAGAGCGGGGAGGGTGAGAAGGGCTGAGGCCCTGCTGGACCCTCTCACTGGTCCCGCCCCCACCCTGCACCCGGGAAACCTCTAGAGGGAGCCAGGAGAGGGTCACGTGGACTTTGCTCTGCAAGACAAATCTGATAATGAAAAATAAACAGGCTCTTTTATTTACAAAGGCCAAGGACAGTGTTAAGGGCTGCAGGATCCAGTTCTCAGTGTCTGGTCGAGTTGTTCTGCTTTCCTGGAGCCCCGAGAGGCCAGGCCCCTTGGAAGGGCGAAGGGCTCTGCGGTTGCCTCTGGGGTCTCTGTTCTTGCCAATCTCTTCGCATCTGTCCTCTTCTATCCCGGGTCCCTAGTAAGCCACCATGGGAAGCCAAGCACAAGTTCACCCGGTGCCAGATTATTGCTCCTCCCCCAGAGGACCTGGAAGGCTGTGCAAACCTTGCCCCAAACAAAGGAACTCCTCAGAGAACGGTGGCCTTAACACCCGTGTTGTTCCTGAACAACTGCGGCCAGGCCAGAGCTGCTCGAATGGTCTGGGTTCAGGTCACCACCTGCCTGGGAGGATCTTGGAGGGCAGTTTCGACCTCTTTGCTGCTTGTTAGCAGCCCGTCTGGGGCTGCAACAGTTTTCTCGGACATTTGAGGAAGGGGCCGCTGTTCATGTCCCTACCTTCAGCGTGCTGCAGAAGATGCACCGCCAGGCCGAGGGATCTTTTGACAAGCCTGATGACTCTGCCTGCTGCCTACCATTTTATACCGTTGGGTCCTGGAGGCTGCTAAGGGAGCCTCAAGCGGGCCCTAGAAAGGCCCGGCCTGCTCTTAGGTGCCAGCTCCTGTCTTGTTTGACTCACTCTTAGTAGTAGCTGCCACCTAACCCCACTCAGTGTTGATATTCACAGCCTCTCCCTCCCACCTCACCCCTCCCCTATCCTGCATGCTGGAGATTTCTGGATCCTTCCCTGGGAGGGGATGTCCCCTAACTAGACTAGCCAGGAGCCTTCATTCCTCGACTTGTGTCATTTGGGAACTATTTATTTATTCTTAATATTTAATTTTTAACATCCTCAGGGACCAGGGGCCTCTTGCTTTTTAGAGGTCCAAGTGCATTTATCCCAAAATAAGGCACCTTCTTGGCATCCTCACCCCCACCCCCCAATTCCAAGGCTCTAGGGTCCCTTACCTTGTTGCTCTTGCTGGTAGGAATGGTAGGTAGTAGTGCTGAACCGACTGGGAAGGTGGGGAGTGTCATTAAAGTCACAGGAAACTGGCAGATGTGGGTGAGGTCAAAGACAATTCTCTGGCCTGCCCTTTCTGTACTTTCAAAATGCTTGAGGGAGTTGGCAGGAGGCCAAAATTCTAGTTTTGTTTATCAGCCTGGATTCTGGCTTGAAGAAACCATATTTGGCATGAAATTACTGAAGGGCTGGAGTGTTCTGGAGGTCCCTTCACTTGCCAGTTCCATAGGGGGCCTAAGTTGTTTTTCTGATATTATTACTCAGTTTTAAGTTGTGCAGAAGAAAGTCTAAGTGGATGTGTCTGAGTGGTCAACATGTTATTTAAGAGCTAAAAAGGATTCTTTCACTATTCAGTAGGAGATGGCCCACAGCCAACTGGAAATAGATGGGGTGTTTTTAAGCTATGCACTATTGGGTATTTTTTACATTCATTTATGCATCAGTATGGTTCTATGAGAGCTGCCTATGGAAGTAACAAAAATGTCTCCTAAACCTTCAGCTTCCCCATTAGTTTCTTTCATAGGCTTCTACAAACTCAAAGCCTCGAGATTGCAAAAATCTGGTACCCTCTGGAAGCAAGAGGACAGCAAATTTAGGCTTTCTCCTAAATCACTTGTATAATGAGTGCCTTCACAGCTTAGCCCCAAAGTGCTACTTAGGTTTCCCAAGGTTTTTTTTTGTTTTGTTTTGTTTTTTTTTTTTTTTTCCCTATTTAAACCATATTTGGCTCAGGCCCCTTGGACATGTGATATCAGACATCTTCAACCACATGAGATTCTCCTGCTCAGTGTGAGATTCTCCTGCTCAGTGGTTCCAATCAGTCCTTAGAAATCTTAATAAAAGAGTGATTCTACTTTTCTAAGTTCACAGAGACCAGGCCAGACGAATATAGCCGGAAAGAAATTAAGATGCTACCTTTCGGTAGTGATCTCATGAGACACTTTTCTTAGAAGAGTCCATGATCCAGGGTGCAGTGTGAAAACTGCACTGTCTCAAGGGCAGATCCAGCTGTGGCAAGTAGCCACAGAGGCTGACGCAGGCACATCCTTACTGGTGCTTTCTCATAGGGACACACTGGGCTTGGTTTTTGTTGTTTTTATTATTATTGCTATTATTATTCAGAGCTCTTTGCTGTAAGAATAAGTAACAACTTCAGCTTGATGTTAGCCATCCTAGACCATCTCACCTTACCTGTCTCCCAGCCTCCACCGGCGTTCAGTGAAGGGCGTGAAACTGACATAGTGCCTGTGTTCTGGACCATTTCTGGCCTCTCTTGCCCGTCTAAGGAGGCAGTGCCATTACTACTGTCCTCCGCGCCTTCAGCAGCCCCTCCTAGCTAAGGTACATACCTACCCTTCTGCCACCCCGCCCTCACCCCTGGCACAGAGACCCTGTGCTGCTGATGTCTAAAGGGATTGCCTATATTTAACTGCCTCAGTGACCTAACCTCTTTCTTCTCACATGCCTGATGTTAAAGATGAAGGAGGAATACAACACATACTCAAGCCTCAGCTGTTTAAATGTTTTTATTGGGGCTCACTTTTCTGGGTTGTTATTTATTACTAGACTGGCAAAGCCTAACTCTTTAGGTTTTTACAGGAAGTATGCATATTTTTATAAAACAGTTGTGTCTGACCCACATTTGGCTGTTTGTTGCCTCAAAAAAAAAAAAAAAAATTGCAGCTGTTAGAACTTTTCCTCATTTGTCTGTTAAGTTGAAGGCCTTGTTGGAGAGGACAGAGCACAGAAACAGCCTTGACAGTCTGTAATTATTGTACAAATATTTTAATAGCATAAAATAAGTATATTCCTTTTATTTTGAAACAAAATGATCAGACACTGCCTTTCATGTGTTTGTTGCCTGTGGCACTCTTTTTAAAAAAGACTGTTACATATTAAATAGTGTACATATATATATAAATATTACCTCTTTTGCTGTACAGTTGTGATAGACCAGACTGAAAATTTTATTTTTTGTGTGCTTTTTATAAAAAAAATTAATACACTAAAGAGAATCTTGCTGTGATTGTAATGTACCTATGTAACTTATTTACTTTTGAATGTTCTGTATCTTAAGACCTTTTATTAAATAAAATTTTAAAAAATTCACTGTTGAATGCTATATTCTTTTTTAATGGTTTATTTATTTTTATTTTCATTTGTGTTCTGTGTCTGCATGTATATCAGTGTGAGGATGTTCAGATCCCTGGGAACTGGGATTACAGGTATGAGCTGCCATGTGTGTGCTGGGAATTGAACTCAGGTCCTTTAAAGAGCAGCCAGTGCTCCTAATGGGTGAGCCATCTCTCCAGCCCCCCAAATGTCATATACTTATAGGGGTGTTTTGTGTGTGTTTGTGTGTGTGTGTGTGTGTGTATTTGTTTAGTTGATTTTTTTTTTTTTTTTTTTTTGAGGCAGGGCTTCTCTGTATGGCCTGGAACTCAATTTGTAGACCAAATTGGCCTCTAACTCACAGAGATCCCCCTGCCTCTGCCTCCCAAGTGCTGGGATTAAAGGCGTGGGCCACCAAGGCCCGTCCATTTTATAGGGCTGTTTTATCAGCTGGGATTGACAGACTTTGCTTAAAGAGAATTTACCTTAACCTTTCCAAGCCTTAAGCATTCTCTTGCTATCATATATACTCAGTAAGACCAAGAAACGAAAGTGCAGTTTGTCTGGCCACAAATGAGTAGTAGCAGCGTTTTGGGTATACAAAATTTAGGCAAGAAAGCATAATGAGTCTCACAGGAAACTGAAGATGGCATTCTCTCTTTTGCTTTCCTGGGAAGGAACAGCAGCTGTGTTATCAGGAGGCACGCAGAAGTCAGGAGTACTGAGTGTTTTCATAGGCAGCATAGTGAATGCATACACAGACTGGATGAGCAAAATGAGAGGACAAGTCCGACATGGTAGATGCATATCAGTAAGGCCAACTTAAATTCACAGCAAAATTAGATTAAAAAAGAGAGAGAGAGAGAGAAAGAAAGGAAGGAAGAAAAAGAAAAGAAAACGATGCTTTGCAATATTTATTGTAAGAGAGAATCTGGGAAATACGGGGTGGTGGTGGTGGGGCGGAGGATGTGCCATCACAGAATAGTCGCCTCAAACCCTTCGGTACCATAGCAACCGCCAGGTCCTCTGGAGCCCGCGCATTTCGCGTCGTCATGAACACGGTTGCCACAGCGACACTGGCGAGCGGATCGGCCCCGCCCTGCACTGCAGCTGCTCGGCGGCGGCCGTTGCGGGAGCGCGCTGCTCTGGACGCCGAGCAGAGCTGCCTCCAGCCGGCCTCCCGCCTTCCGCGCCGCGCTCCCTGTGCTCGCCAGCTGCCGCAGCCGCCGAACCTACGTACCGCCTCTCCCGGCGTCTTCCAAGCCACCGCCTCGCGTGACCCTACGCCCGCGCCTACCACCGGCCGGCCCCAGAGCAGCGGGAGGAGCTGCCACACCCCGCGGTCGCACTCCTGGAGCCCACCCCCTTCCGCCAACCTTGCTTTCTCCTCCACGCCACGCATAGCTGCAGCCAGCCCACACCTGCTCGCACCAAAGAGACTCCCGACTTTGGGATCCGGAAGGGATGAGACTGGACCTTGGTGTCATTTGGTAATTGTGGTTGCTTGAAGCTTGTCGCCCCTGGGCCTACCCGGGGGAGGGAGGCATGTTGTATTGTCATAGGTCCTATAGCACTGTGAGCCAGTCCAGGCGGTGTTTGTAGAACTGGCACCCTTAATAGTGGGGCGGAATGGCTTTGACACTATTGGAAGACTGGTGTAGGGGAATGGATGTGAACTCTCAGAGAGCTCTGCTGGTCTGGGGGATCCCTGTGAACTGTGATGAGGCTGAAATCGAAGAGACCCTCCAAGCTTCGATGCCCCAAGTGTCCTATCGAGTACTGGGGAGAATGTTCTGGAGGGAAGAAAATGCGAAGGCAGCCTTGTTAGAGCTCACCGGGGCAGTGGATTACTCCCTGATCCCTAGAGAGATGCCAGGCAAAGGCGGGCTCTGGAAAGTGTTCTTTAAGCCCCCCACTTCCGATGCGGAGTTTTTGGAAAGGCTGCACCTCTTTCTAGCTAGGGAAGGGTGGACTGTGCAAGATGTTGCTCGTGTGCTTGGGTTTCAGAACCCTGCTCCCGCTCCAGGCCCAGAAATGCCAGCAGAGATGCTCAACTATATTTTGGATAATGTTATTCAACCTCTTGTTGAGTCCATATGGTATAAGAAGCTGACGCTGTTCTCTGGGAGGGACATTCCCGGGCCTGGTGAGGAGACCTTTGATTCCTGGCTGGAGCATTCGAATGAGGTCATAGAAGAATGGCAGGTGTCTGATATAGAAAAGAGACGGCGGTTGATGGAGAGTTTGAGAGGCCCAGCTGCTGACGTCATTCGCATCCTCAAGACCAACAACCCTGCTATAACCACCACAGAATGCCTGAAGGCTCTTGAGCAGGTGTTTGGGAGCGTGGAGAGCTCTAGAGATACACAGGTCAGATTTCTGAACACTTACCAGAACCCCGGAGAAAAGTTGTCTTCTTACGTCATTCGCCTGGAACCTCTGCTGCAAAAGGTAGTGGAAAAGGGGGCCATTGATAAAGATAATGTGAACCAGGCTCGCCTGGAGCAGGTCATCGCGGGGGCCAACCACAGTGCAGCCATCCGAAGGCAATTGTGGCTGACCGGGGCTGCGGAACGGCAGGCACCCAACCTCTTCCAGTTGCTGGTGCAGATTCGAGAGGAGGAAGCCAAAGAGGAGGAGGAGGAAGCTGAGGCAGCCCTCTTGCAGCTAGGCCTGGAGGGACATTTCTGAGTCCCTGGATTGCTCTGGCTGCATTTGTTATCCCCGTGCGGTTTTACGTGCCGGCCTCTCATAGTAAAGACCTAGCCTCCTGTTTTTGTTTTGTTTTGTTTTGTTTTCTGAGGGATGGGATAGGGGAGTCAGGCCTGCATATCCGTGTAGCAGTCACAGAATTGTGTGATTGGCCAGAGCTGCAACAGTAGAGGTGAGTCATACTGCCTAAGATGAATGCTTGATGCGAGCCCTCCTGGTGACATCTTTGATAGTTGTGAAAAATGTGCAGCTGCGGCACTTCCTGTCAGGATGATTGTCAAAGTGCAAGCCTGCTTCTTAGGCTGTCTGGTACAAATGGTTACATTTGTTACTAATATTGTGGATAAGTTTACTGTACATTGTCCCTAATTTACATACATGGGAAGAATGTGAGTCTATTAGATGATACTGCTTACCTTGAAAATTCAGATTTCTAATTCCTCACGGCTCAACATCAGAATTGTTTACTGGCAAAGTATTCTAGGACCAAAAATGGTGTTGGGAAACTGTGCTTTTAGGGAGCTGCACAATCTACTCTTCATGGTGTAAGATACAAATGTGTCATGGGGGAATTGCCACCAACAAGCTGCATTTCCCCCCACTCAAATGTTTGTCATTTAATTATTGGTCATGTTGATGCTAAGTGTTCTAAATTTGAAGTTATCAAACAGATGTATACAAATAAAAATTTTAAAATTCTCATCTTGTTTTTCCTGAGATGTATAAAAATTTTCAGTGTAACTCAGCTCTGTGCATTTTTCACTTACACGGATTTTTGCTCACATCAAAAAAAAAAAAAAATTAACCCCCTTGCTATGAGCTTAAATTGCAATATCACCTACATATTCTCGTGTTCTGGTTCCTTGGTTGTTGCTTTGGTTTGTTTTTTTGTTTGTTTGTTTGTTTGTTTTGTTTTGTTTTGTTTTTTCACAGTCCAACTCCGTAGCTAGCTGAGGCTGGCCTGGAATCCACTCTGTAGCCCAGGCTGGCCTCAAACTTGTAGCAATTCTCTTGCCTCCAGCCTCCACAGTGCCAGGGTTACTGGTGTAAGCCACCACACCCAGCTATTTCTTTTAGATACAGTCTCACTATATAGCATAGGCTAGTCTTGAACTTGTGATTTTCCTGCCTCTTACTACTGGATGCTGGGATCATAGGCCTGTGCTGTCACATCCAGCTTTTGCAATTCGTTTTAGTGGACTCTGTTTTCACATGGCTTCAAGGCAAGTGATGATGACTGAAGAAATGAAAATATATTTCCATGAAATTTGACAAAATATTTGAAGTGGGTATTAGGTTTTCTAGCAACCTTTTTCATTTTGTGACTTAATACCTCGCTTCATGAAGAAATATGGTTGAGTCACATATGTTCAAAGTGAGCATTTGTTTCAGGGCAGTCATTTTATACCAAGATGAGAAAAAGGAAAGGCTTAAAAACATGTTTGCTTGGCTCTACAGATCCTGTACTGAAGATGCTGTCCCTGAGCTCCTGCATAAATCTGGAAGTGCTGTAAGCTTTCTCGTAGGGTTTAAGATCAGAGCTCGGGCAATAATATAAACCACATGACTGTCCTCGAAGCTCTGCTTCACGGAGGCACTGGTGGGCTTGACAGGACTGGTGCCATTTGTTAATTGTGACTATTAATTTATGGATGCTAATATTGGTATGTGTTTTCCCAGATCTTTCTTTTTAAAATATTGTGTGTGTGTACATGGCTGTGCATGTTCTGGTACGCATGGGGACGTCAGAGGACAACTTGCAGGAATCCATAATCTCCTCCTACCCTGTGGGCCCCTTGACATGAGATTCTGTTTCTTAAACTTTTATAGGTGCACTCACACTTCACTATCATGTGCTAATCAACCACACTCCCAACTCCTATACTTAGATATACATTCTTAAAAACAAATAACGGATTGTGCATATTGTATATTGTCAGCATCCTTGGTTTCACATAGGGACATGGGATACTTTGTGTGTGGGCACATACATGTGGAGGACATAGGACACCTTGTAGGAGTCAGTTCTCCTTTCCACCATGTAGGTTTGAGGTTGGCAGGCTTGATGGTAAATGCCCTTCCCTGCTCACCAGGGATCTCACCAGCTCACATCACCCTGCCTGTGCAACCTCAGCTCAGAGGTTGCTATACCATTTTGTTCGGTAGCAAGGACTGACTCTAAGACCTCATGTGTGCTGGCCAAGCACTCTACTGTACTGTACTGAGGTACAACCCCATCTTTTTTTTTTTTTTTTAAAAAACAAAGTTTCAAGTTTCACGTTGTA